TCGATTCCTCCCACGATTCAGCACGTAAATGTATTAATGTATGCCCGTAGGTACTGAATGAGATGTTTCATATTTTATGTTAAATTACTTTGTTCTAGGAGACGATCGAATATTTTATTATGAATTTCTCAACATTTTTTTATATGTAACTGTAAGATATTCTATACTTTTAAAAATTAATTTTAAATAGATGCATTCGCTACCATCTAAGAAACCCAGGCAACCGCCTGAATATTTGAGGAAACGTTTAGTAGTCGGTAAGTATAACGAACATAAATAACAGGGCACGCCTAACAATAATGAGATACATCCTAGGATGTATTCGTCGGTGTCTCTGTCACGGCCTGATTAACGTCTGATGCTTTATGTAAATTAAGCTTGATTACTTACTGATTAAGTGTTACAGCTCTAAAACACCCAACTAAATTACAGCAATAGCAAACATTCCTCTTCCTCGCGGTAAAAATAACTTTCAACGAAAAATGCGTCAGAATAATTACAGCTTTTCAATCCTACTGCATGAGTTTCAATTATAAGACCTTAATTTACACCTTATCAGGTGTAATAAAAGAGAATACAGATATCTCTCTTTACGTGTAGATTAATCTCTGAAATCCTGTTGCCAAACAGCCCGATAAAAATTTGAACAAGCACCAGTAACGTAAACCAATACTCCTATTTTACCTTTTACTATTTGTTTATCGTGTATCGCGGATCGAAAACAGCACAAGGGAAGCAGTCAGCAAGGGACGACAGAAATGGAGAAAAAGGGACGGGGCATCATTTGTTCTGTGCTGCTAACCACACATGCGACACGAACGTAGCGCTGTAACACGTTCAATGATGCCAGCCGAAGCAATGAATACCATTTACTCAGCACGGTTCACCAAATTAAATGCTACCCACTTTTTACATAACGCCAGAGGACTGTGTGCGCGCTGCACGTAATGAAACCTGTTCCTCTTTCAGCTCGTAGATGCTCTTCCGCCTTTTCCAAATAGTGAATCTAGCTGACCCTGCCATAAGTTTCGTTCCAGGTATTGCGCTATTGCGCAAAAGAAAAAATACGAAATATTATCCATGTCTAAGTAGAAATATTTTATGTTAAATTGAAAAAAAGAATAATTCAGGTCTGAAAGTGTTAAATTTACCCGGCAGTGAATGGGTTAACAATTTCTTGAGTTATGGAAATAATGTACTTCTTCGTTTAAGTTGACTTTCAAGGGATATTTCTTATCGACAAATATGATTTGCAATAATTCTTTAAAATATCAGTTAAAAATACAATTTTTGGTATAGCTTCCTCAAAATAAAAAATTTTCTTTTCTTCCCAGTGCCTTCAATAATTTCCTCGTCATTGTATCACGTACTTGCAAATAATACTTATAGCAGGACTAGATAGAACGCGAACGACGAACGTCCGAATAGACCTCGTGAACTGTCCCACCTCCGTTTCGAATTAGGATTTAACGATAGTCTTCAAACCCTCGCTGACCTTCGCCATTTAATTACACCGCGCCGTGCGCTAAATAAACCCCCAGTTCGTTATCTCCCGCGCGAGGCACTTTTGGCGTGGACGGACTTTAATTAAAATCGTAATTTTTGTTCAGCGTAATCGTTATTACAACTGCGTCGTCTCCCCGTCGGTTTAACGAACCGTTAGCATCGAAGTAAATTCTCCCGCCATTGCATCCTCTCCCCCCCCCCAGATGAATGCGTGTTTGTGAAAAAGAAAAGGTCTCCCCAACGCTCTGCTTCACCCCCGTTGCTATAGTTTCCGACCTATAGTGGGTCGAGAAAATTACACCTTCGGGGAAGAGCTAACACGAAAAGATTTATCTAGTTTAGCTAGTTTCTATCTAACTTTGGATCTGGCTTTCCTGAAACCAGTTTACAGTGTACCCCTAAGGTGGATTTTCCAAAAGTTCCGAACAATTAAGTAATAACAGTAATTAAGGAAGGAAGCCACCCTGCTCCAGCGTAGCTATTTTATTTAAAAATTATTTTGTTATTTTTTGTTGTTATTTATTATTATCGAAGAAAAAATTGTTAAACGTAGCCAAGACGTTCACCTATCCAAGGTGAACCTTTCCTCCTACTCTTTAAGATGTCCACAGACTATTACACGCGTTCATAATGTACTTACAATTGTGTGTAGTTGGTACATACAAATTATTCGCTGACCGGATACGAATCTTTTCTTTGCATCGCCTTTTAATCTCACACTACGTGAAATCCATTCGTGCGGCCATCTACCGAAATGGAACTCGGAGGAAAACTGTCTGGAAATATTTGCACGCCGCTGTAGACCTCGAAGACCGCCGACTTCAACGATTTTACTACCCAGTTATACATCCTCGATGCCGTGCTGATTAGCATCCCCCAAGCAGCGTCGCTGGAAGAGTCACCTCAGTCACCCAATCAAAATAAAGAAGCTTAACGCAAACAAACCTGGAACTTTGCTCCCTCCGTGCGGAATACAAATGGAAACAAATATGAAAGCTGTTAGGGAACACCATTTAACATGGGTGAAAGCGTGAGTCGAGAGTAGATTAGAAGATATTAGAGGACATTGGTCAAGCGAGATTATGCAATATAAATTCTTACGTGGCTATTCTTTTGAACGTTCGTTTGAAAATTTTTTATGAGATTTTCAGCTGCGTGTGAGATTTGAATCGCATCTGGGAAAGTCTGATGAATCGTTAACGAAACTGCAAAGTAGTCGCGAGTGGACACACCCGGCTTAGACGAGACAGTGGTTAGCATAACGTTAATTTAGATGACGCTCATAGCGCCACTGCGTAAAGCAATTACACCGGGGCTAATTAAGGTACGCAGATAGTCAAGTTATTTACGGATAATCCCGCGAATATCATTAACAAGAATGCGTGACTCCTTGCCCAGGGGATTTCGCGTTACCCAGAACACCAGGTTTGCTTCTCTAATAGTTTCCTCGAGAGCGCCTACTCCAATAATAATCTTAACATTACACGCAATTACAGTGATGTATAACACTAGCATTATTAGTGCAAGATAAAAAAAATTAAAAGAGAAAGAAGATATCAGATACTAAAACTTTAAACTCAAATTTCTTAAAAAAAGAGACCACCATAACAAAATCCATTAATGTTTATTTGATATTAAATCTGCCGTATAACGTTCGTATGATGTCATTTATCAAGAACGTCAAAGGTGGGACCTTGCTTTCGAATTTGAACGATGGTTATCGTACTACATTTCTAACGACTTTAAGCGCGATAATTAAAGGTAAGTTTTCAAACACTCGTTACGTTAGTTTTCCAGGCTCACCGTATATAGCTTTTCGCGTTATTCGCTGTTGGGAAGCATATCTTAGATACGTTGCACGGTGTAATTAAGCAGTGCGATATACACTACATAAATTACTCCCTTTAGCACTTTAAATTGCCGTGCAGGCACGCAAATTTTATACTAGTCGTAACCAGGATTCTTAATTAATTCCTATTTGCTGTAAATTTTATCCTTAATCGTGAATTCCGTTTGTTCGAGTACTTTGCAAACTCAAGGAAGTTTATTGTGACCGTTACACTTCACTGGCTGCGATTCATATCTGAACGTGACCATTACGTTCTGTGAAGTGTAGCAATAAGGGATCTCGTTCCTTTTGAGGTTGGCAGACTTACTACCGTATTACTGAAATGATTACTCCTAATCTTTAGATGGTCGTATCTCATCCTTCTAGAGGTTCTTCTACTTTGGAATTAAAAATTTTATGTATGGTAGTTCGTATATCTTTAGGGTAGCATTTACTATAAATAGATAGGAAACACATAAAAATCCTCTAATTTATATAATAATCCTTCGTTAAATATTTATTCTACTTTATTAATATTGTTTCTTTCACGAAAATATTTGAATAATTTTTGTTCAATAAATTTAATTCAATTCAGTCAACATTAATTTTGAATAAAAGTGTCTCTAATCCTTTGCACTCTATTAAACGAAATCCAAACATATTAATATTCCGTATTAATATTATAATTCTATTTAAAATTAGACGAAGCTATACTGTATGTATATTTTTAGTCGAGGCGCGAGAGTACCTACCCTATTATTTGCGTAACAAATGTTTCTACCCCTCTTAGATAGCTTGACGGTTTACACCCACAGGTAACTACTGCCCGCGACCATTTATTTTCCTGTACGATCAGCGACGCGTTAACGATCGCGCATAAAATTAAAGAAAGTACGCGACGCGTGCATTCGATCATTTTTCAACGCATATCTGAGCGGTTGGTACAACTGAACCGTACAACGCTGTCGGAAATCGTGTACAACGCCGGGTAAAACACGCTCTACGCTTCCGGTATGACATAACTATGTGACACGACACACGCAAAGGAACTAGTGTTTCTGTAATTCGCGGCACAAAATAAAATCTATGGTTTGCAGAGGAATTTTTAGAAAATCGTGACCAAAGTCCTTCCGGAAACAGTTCGAATTTTTTAAATTTGTTCGGTTTGATTTGTTTATGGGTTACGTGCATTGTGCATGTGTACACAGTTTTTCGTTTGTTGCAATATTTACGTAGCTACTCTTTGGTTGAAACGTCGATTAGAATAACTTTGTAACGTAGACTTTTGTGGTATTTATTTTTGTATTCCGGGCTCATTCATTAAAACTCGTAGGGTGTAATATGTTCTAACTTTTAAACATGTGATTGTGTTTGAGATTATAAAGGATGGTTTCAAATCAAAGGGTTTCATAAGAACTTTGCATTAAAATATGGAGTTTTCAAAATGGTATTCTTATGACAAAGTCTTATTAAATTTCGTGTCCTGAATTGTGGACGCCATGTCTGAAAGGGTTAAATTTTAACTTTTTTCGGAAACATTCTTTGCAGTGGAGTCTCCAAACGAGCAGGAACGCGCGAATAAATAATATATGAGCGAATAACAGGCGATCATGGTATCCCGGCTGACGTAACGATTTATTCATGCGAGAGGATTTCTTTTTATTACCTGGATGTACGGCGTGGCAGTGGTTGAGGAGCGGCAGCCAACAGAGCAGTAGCACCGCTCTCTGCATCTGAAACAAAAACCGCAGGCATTTTTCACAAGCGTCCAATCTAATTACTATTCCGCAAGCGCCGACCGTCTTCTAATATAATTATACGCTGATTAAAATCCACGATGAAACGGGCCCGACATCGGGGGCTGCCACGAAACGCAACGAAATCATCGTGGGTGCACTAATTACAGAGAGAAGCCGAGTCAGACCGAAGAACGCTCCACGGATACTCCTGAACGAGGAACGATTGCGAGCGCGCATAAATATCCGCATGGATACACGATGGATCATGTGTGCGATCCATACACACATTTCGGGTAGCAATGGGACCGAGACGTGGTTAAATAGCGTCCATTATTGTTCATGTCAAAATTTCACTCTTTGGTACTTAATCTTTGCTGAGAATTTTTTTTCCTGATAATTTTTGTTTGTATGCAATTGAAAACTATATCCAACTATTTTCATACAATTAGAAACTATGCGATCTGCCATTTGTGGTAGTACTCATTACTGTAGTTATTATTCTTAGCGTAGTCACGCGACTACCACACATACATCGATATGCACATACCACAGAAGAAGAAATAAATATTCCACAATCTTCATTACTCAAACAAATACACAAACAAACGTGTCTACATCATTCATAATTGTCTTATCGAACACTCAACGACACTTTACTGAACTCCATCGATACCAACAAGGACCAACAAGTACACCTTACCAATATTAACAACCGTTCACACTCGCCCGTACGATATCTCGAGTGACTACTTGGAAATCGATACTTATTAATTACTACGTCATAGGATTGATCCCATCGCTAGTTTCAGGAACAAACGAACCCTCTCAGGCGCGGATGCGCGTGGCCACGTGCGCACGCATGAACGATTTGCATACAGAGGCAGCTGTGCGAGGCCCGTTGTACCAAATTTTCGACCGTGGTAGACTTTTCGTTGCGAAACACGCGGGAAAGAGCCACGCCCGCGATCCTTTACGGAATAGAGAACGAGCGGAAGCGCACGATTTGTCAAATTGATTCTTCCGGTGAGTGCGCGGAATTTTAAGTTCACTGGGACAGAACGCGCCCCCTCGTGGGGCGGGCCATTAGACATTTACCTGGGTTTTCGTGCAATTGAGAATTCACGCGTGCGAGGCGCATTCAAAGGGGACAACTCTGGAAACGATTACTGGAACCGTTTGGATGTGAACGTTTGTTTGGGGCACGTGCCACGATGCAGAAATACGCGTGCGACAGGATTTCCCTCAAAATCGACGAGATATCCAGCCTATGGGGTTGGAATGACGGTTCGCGTATTCGCGGAGATACGTGATCGTCATCGATTCAATTTTTCTTTGACGGGGAAACTCCGAAGGGAAAATCATTTTAGGATTTGCGAAAAATTAAGAAAAATTCAAGTGGAAGGAAAAGTACAATCATTTCAATACTATTTAATGCAATATATCAATGAATATTTGTGCAAAGTTTTAGAATAATCAATGTTCTTGGTCCATTTCCTCCAAAAGAAAAAAACCATGAAGTTGATGTTTGCTGAATAGACCCACGAATGTATAAAATTTGAAGCAGTTTCATAGAGAATGAATTTTGTCGATTTTGAGTAAAGCCCTTTGGCTGAGTTCTCTAGCTACTGAGAATTCAAGCGTGCAAGGCGTATTCACAGGACGGCGAACTTTGAAATCGATTACGGAAACTGTTGAATGAACGTTGTTTGGTGCAACGTGCGGGATGCAGTGACGCGCGGGCGTAATTTGTATTCCTGTGTAGTTTACATTCCTGCAAAATTATTGTCGAGGAAGACTGCTGGGACGGATACAAATCGGCACTATAAAAGCAGACCTTTTTTAACGTTTGTTTGGCGCGACGACGCTCGCGGTAAATCTGTTTCTGGAAGTGTGGAAGTTGAGCGTGGGCCATTCCGCGTCAAGTGATAAATTTTTTTAACTGAAATCAATTTTTTAATGTCGCTATTATTGAAAATTTATCAGTGAAGTCCTATAGTTTTGAACTATCTTTATTGCTTGATTTCCTACGCAGAAAAATGCAGATTTCCGTGATCGGTTTTAATAAGAAATGTTCTAAAATTCTCGCTTTACAAATGGCTATCAACGCCCTTCACTTTTGGAATTTTCATTTCCAGTCCAATAACATTGAAATACACAAAACACACGATAAAAGAGAGAGAAAAGGATTCGGCGAATTTTTGCCATAAATCATCACCATTCAATATCCCTATATTACTCTTTGTTCTCGAAGCTTTTCAAAGTTATCGTCTCGCTGCGGGTAACGTCGATATTTATTTAGTCTTCTCGATGGCGCTTTAACCGCGTTTACCCTTGACGTTAGATTGCACATTATTCACGTACTAATGAACGCGGACGCGATATAGGTACTTTAAAAATGCATTTCACAAGGACGAAACGAAATTTTAATCCGTGCAAATAGCTGGTCGTAAATATGAATTAAGCAAATGACGGAGCTTCATTAAAATTGCATCATCGATTGGTTTCGAATGTCGAGCGGCCTCGCGTTGAATCCACTTAAAGCTGACAGGATAAGGGAAAGTTGAATTCGTCCAGATATCAGGAGCAAGATCCTAGCAAAAGGATTTCTCTATACGAATGGCGAATAGCGTAATCCAAAATTGCACTTACTGTACGCGATCGAATCTGCTCCTTTATGCGAACACGTATCAGAAAGATATTTCTAAGGTGCGACACTGTACGGGGTGGCTCATAATTCATGAAAGGGATTTGAATTACTATAATTTTTCTATTTCTTAGTGTTTTCGTTTTATTTTTATTTGGTTTGTAAAATTAGATACAGAGAAATTCATAGTGAACTAAAATCGTACATAACAGAAAGATTAATTTTTGAAACGTTATATAAGCTTGAACATGAGTTTCGTTCACTGATCAGAAATAAATTATTAAAAATATTATCGCGTTTATGAATTTAGCTTTAGAGTTCGTGTTGAAATTATGGATCGCCCAGTATTAGGACAGACACGAAATGAAAGATGGATAGCGAAATGGGGTATATTTAAGTTCGATCAATGTCGCGTGAAGCGGTAAAAAGGGCGAATCTGCATCGAGACATCGGGGAGTTATGAGATTCAGCCTAGAGCCGTCGTTTCGCTTTGAGGGTTGGAACTGTTGACATTGCTGAACAGTGGAAACCTTCTTTGAAAGAATTCCGTCTCGCTTGAAGCTGACTTTACGTACGCTGGTTGTGCGAATGCTTTAAATGGCGATGTTCTTGGAACCCTTTTTAAATATTAAATCTGGCAATGTGGAGGGTGTTACTGGGCTGAATTTCGAGAACTCGTTTTCGAAAACACACAGTTTATAATGATACGAATTTTTAAGTCTACATATGGTTGCTACAAATCTGGTGATTTATTTCCTTTGGCATACCCATTTACTAAATTTTAAGTTTTCCGAATTTTCATATTTCCATATTTATAAATTTAATGTTCAAATGTCTATCAACTTCAAACAACAAGTGGTTACAAGTACGATATTATGCAGCAAGTTTTTAAATTTGATTCTCATTATAACGTCAGAACTCCGAGGCAACCAGCTATAGATTTTTGTTAAGTGCATGGAGCACCCAATTTTAGGTCGTGTGCCAGAATCGTCAACTATGAAACTGTTAACATATATTTCACTCGTAACTTGAGTGTTAAAGTTTCTTTGTTATTGTCAGAATTAAGAAAATTTTATTAACAAATAGGTATTTCTTCAAAATCTTGTATTTTTTTATTTTCAGCAGAATAAGAATCTATATTTTTATTGATTCAATGTTTTTCAAAAAAAAAAAAAAAAAGGAATAACGTTTTCAGTTTTCAGCTGAACGTAGTAGAAACAAACATTATTGGTTTTATACGTTAGTCTATTCGGTCACTGCACACTGAATTATTTCACCTGCATTCGGCTGTGATTAAATCAGTTTATGTGCAATCAACTGTAACCTCATTATATATAGACTAAATACGCAATTAATTCGGATAATAGAACTAGCGATAATATAAATTATCCTTATTAAGCTGTTTTCAAACACCTAGTCCTTTTCAGATCAATATTAATAAAATATACATTGTATATAAAATCAAGAACAATATAAAAATATAATCTGAAATACTAACTCACAAATATGTGAGTATAACAAATTTGTACTGCTACATAACTGTTACACTAATTCGAATTAGATGTATTGTACTATAAATGCGTTAGATCCGAGAAATTTAAGATGAAAGTAAATCACAAGAGTTATCCTACATCTAGAACAAAACATTGAAAACAAGATCGAAAAATAGGTATACTAAGCCTCATCAGAAACCCTCGGCTTCATTCTGTAGCAATTACCTCGTACAAGGAAAATATTGTTCAACGAAACAAACATGTCCGAACAAAAGAATCCTGGACGATAACGCGAAACGAGACACTTGTTAAACACATTTGCACCTGCGTCGAGGAGAACGAATGGAATTACGCCGATATTACCGCGCACGGGAAACTATTTTATTCGACAACCACTCCAACAATAATAAACTTTTTTTTTTATCGAGTTCCCAGCTCTTTTAAAATCGTATTACCGGCTCGCGCGCGTCGTCCCTGCACCCGTTCATTAAGGGCCTAATGCGCTCGTTAATTTTGTTCGTAACGATGCTTCAACGACGGGTAACGGTGAAGCTCGCTTTTTTTCTCGGTTACAAACGACGTGGATCGCACCGGTAATATCTTGCAACGACTGTTCAGAGTCGAAGTGTCGTCCTGTAAATAAATTTCTCGCGGCGAAGGCCAAGCCCTCAAGTGGACGGTAGCGAAGAGCTCTCTGGACGATCGAATCGTATTAAACTAATTTCCCAAGCGACGCGAGATAGCCACGCCAAGGCAGAGGACTTGAGAAGGTCAAAATGCACGATTTTTTAAATATTAATAAATGACCATCATGAAAAAAATAGTATGGTCTTCGCATTGTCGCGTTATTTACTCAA